GGAGGGAATCCGGGGCGTCAGCATCCACCCGGAGCTCCTCAAGCCCCTCTGCGTGGGGGTCGACCCCGAGGAGTGCCAAGTGCGGACCCATGAGAAAGAGCAGATCAAGAACCTCAACAACCAGTTCGCCTGCTTCATCGACAAGGTGAGACCCCCTTCCCCCCGCGCAGGGCGCTGGCCCCGTGTCCCTAGGCTCTGTGGATGGATTGCCTCTGGAGAGACTGTCCCCAGAGCAGCTGCTCCTCCTGGCACCCTAGTGCTGTAAATGTTTCTGATAGACCACGGTGGTCCTGACCTGGAGACTGTTTGGACTCAAGCCTTGCACCAAGGCAACCGCACCAGCGTTTGTCCTTCCGGTGGTCACCAACCTGCTAAGCAGATAAATCAGTGGTGGCCCCAGGGATACAGCAAATCAAAACCTGAGAGAGAAGGGATGGAGAGACAGAAATGTGGCAAGGCAAACCAGGGCCTTTTATTACAAACCTATAACCTGACATCGTTCACACCTCTGTAAACTGCAAAGGACTTTTGCATTTTTAAAATAGTTTGTGTGCTTCAGCAAGGAGATGCAGCAAGACACACGTCTAGCTAAAAGGAGATGAACATTTTTAACTTCTGTGTCCCTCCACTCTGTGAATGAAATGATTTGGTGCTTTCTTAAGCAGATGTAATTTATCATTGGTTTCTTAGCCAGACCTGGAGTTTTGACTACTTAGAGATATGTTATAGGCAACGATTTTGCAAACAGCAGAGATACCTGCTCTGTTTGATCTTGATTTTTCCTTATGAGTTGTTCTGCAGCTGGAAAAACCAAACCCATGTAAGAGGAGCAGCTCCGCTTCCTCCCATTTGAGAAATGACTTATTCATGATCCATACAGGATCTCAAGTACTAAAGAGCTCTTTAATCTAGAAGTGAAAGGCATGATAAATATCCGTGGTTAGAGTTTAAATCAGATACATTCAAATGAGATCCTGGATGGAGCTTTTAGTGCTGCAAAAGCCTTTTTCCTGCACTCAGCCCATCAGGGGAGGCAGCGGCTCCTCCCCCAGCCAGTCCAGGAGGGGAAGAGGTGGTGCTGGGCTGAACTGAGATTTGGTTAAACAGATGATTGGCCTCGACACAGAGCAAAGACACCAATGTTGTTCAGCCTGTGGTACGAGTCCTGGGTGGGACCAGGTTCAGCTCGGAGGAGATGCTGGTCTTGCTCGGGCTGCTGAGAAATCAGCACTTAATAATTTGCATTTCTGATTTCGTTTTTACTTTTTCCCTTTGGAATTGGGGAAACCCAAAGCGCCTTTGCCTGGGATGAGACGGGGCCGCGTGACTCTCACACCTCTTGCTTCCCCAGGTCCGGCTGCTGGAGCAGCAAAACAAGGTGCTGACCACCAAGTGGGAGCTGCTGCAGCAGTATGTCCTCCCAGCTTCCAGGAGAAACCTGGAGCCTGTTTTTGAGAACTTCATCTGCAACCTGAGGAAGCAGCTGGAGTGTGTGTTGGGGGAGCGAGAGAGGCTGGAAAACGAGGAGCGGTGCCTCAGGGACCTGGTTCAGGAGTTCAAGTGCAAGTGAGTAGCGTGTGGAGCAGCTGCAGAGCAGGGGCTTCGCTCTGGAGCGTGGTGCCAATGCCACTGCACGGGATGGGTCCAAAAACTGGGGCACAGGGAGGGGAGCAGGGCCAGGGACACCAGTCCCAGGCTGGTTTCCTGTACTGGGGTCCCACTGCTGCACCTCAGATGCTGGCGATGGACTGGGAGAACTCTTCAACCACTGTGTGTGTCCGTCCCTGGGGAGAGGGAAGCGCTTTTCCTCACGCTCCCACACACCACCTTGGCCATATCTAACCTCCCACATCATCTGTGCCTGTGGCTCCCCCAAGTCCCGTGTCTGTGGTGCCATCCATCCCCACAAAACCCTCGGCCTATTTGTCTCCACCTCACGCTCATCTCCACTGGAATTCCCAGAGGGAATGTGGGAATTCGGTTTTTAATCTGAGCTGCAGATATTCCTTAACAGCTCCCTGTCTGCTCTGCTGAGCCACCGACCAGGACGCGTGGTGGTTGGCGGTATCCAGCACAGGATAAAAGGGTGATGCTTTCTCCAGGGATCTTACAGTCAAGCGTCTCAGATGTTTTTTCTCGCTGAGCCAGCAGCAAGGAGGTCAGACTCATAGAATCATCTTGTGAAAGTTCTAGGTCTCAATTACTTGGTCATTACACACTGGCTTTCCATCCCATTGCACCAGGGAATTTCAAAGGTTGCTCAAGCTCCTGACCTTCCCTGGGGCATTCTGGCCACAGCTTCCCCACAAACACTCCTAGCAGAGTCCTGGACGCTTCAGAAAAACATCACAGAAAGCAGCAGGGCTGGAGGCAGCAAACCCAACCCTCCAGCTGAGGCACAGGTTTTGCATTCCCAGTCGTCTGGCCGGATTTACTGCCACCTCACTCCAGCCACCGATCCTGCTGGCGTGGGCTAGTTAAAACTGCTGAACAAAGCCCAGAGGGGAGGAAAGAAATGGCTACAAAGCCAAAGTCAAAAAGCAGGTCACAAAACAAACAGGGAGAGGCTCTGGTTTTAACCACACTTCCCACGTCCTCCATGGGCTGCCTGGGTGGTGGGGATGGGACCCCCGCAGCTCAGCATCTCTCCTTTTCTCCCGCAGATATGAAGACGAGATCAACAAGCGCACGGCTGCAGAGAACGAGTTCGTGGTCCTCAAGAAGGTGAGTCCTGCTAAGAGCAGCTGAGAGTGGCTGGTGTGTGGGCAAGACCTGGGTGTGGGGCCAGGGAGAGCAGTGGGGAGTCCTGGCACTGTGACACTGCCTGAGTCCTCATCAGGTAGCCCCAAAATAGAGACAACCCAATGAGTTTGGAGAACCCCTGTCAGGCTGTAAGCACACATAAAGCAAACCCAGCTAGTCTTAAGGGCTGGAAACAGCGATGCTTCCTCCAAGTCTAACCGAAAACATGGACTTTGCCACAGTCCTTGTTTCTTCACCTCTTTTCGCCGAATCTGTGGTGTCTCTCCAGGATGTGGACTGTCTCTACCTGACCAAGGAGGAGCTGGAGGTGAGAGTTGGCCTCCTGCGGCAGCAGCTGGAGTTCCTCAAGTGCATCTATGCCGAGGTAAGAGCTCCCTGTGCTGCCCCAAGCTTGATGCATCAGCTGCTGCCCCCTGAGCTCCTACACCCAAATTAAACACAGGGAAAGGAGTCTTTTCTGAAAATCCTGCAATAGCATCCCCCAAATCTCTATCCCTTTATATGTACTTGTGTCCTGGTTTGGGGCAACATCAACACTACTGCACATGCTTTGGGCAGGCAAAGGGTGTTCTCGGTTGTCTCCTACATAGCTGGCTGCAAAGGGAGGGATTTTTTCATGAAAAATCCCCACAAATTCTACTCCAAACCATCCCTGGAAACATCTCCCTCTTCAAAACCCAAATATTTTTAGCACTTCACTTCTTAAGCTACATTAATCAAAATATTGACGTGAAAGTAACACTTTTGTGTACTTTGTGGCTAACTGTGCACAATGTAGCAAGTTTTTAACAAAGCACTCAGGGAACACTCCCTATTTGCACTTTTCCAAACCAAAACACCTCCCAGCAGCCTGTAGTCAAGGGAGCCCAAAGCATTCACCCCTGAGGGCTTCACAGCCCCCAAAACTGCTGATGCAACCCGGAATGCCTGAGTTCCAATGAAGTGAGTTGCTCCACCGGGATTTCCCACCCTTCCCTAGGGAACTACATGCAGCAATCTCATATTGTGCCACCAAAACAGGTCCCAGCTGCCAGATCTTTCTGGAAGCCACTCAACCCCCTGGAGAACCCCATGCTGTAGTTGGGTGTTCATGGGAGAAACTCCCCCAGTCCTCCAGCTCCTCTCCAGACCCCTCTTTCCAGGGGTACCTGCATGCCTGGCTTGGGCTGGCTGGGGGAAGGGGACTGACCTGTGGTGGGTCTTGCAGGAGAGAGCTCAGCTGGATTGCCAGCTGTGTGACACCTCTGTCATCGTGCAAATGGACAACAGCCGGGACCTGGACATGGAGGGCATCATCAAAAGTGTTGAGTGCTGCTACGAGGAGATTGCCCAGAAGAGCAAGGCTGAAGTGGAGGCTTTCTACCAAACCAGAGTGAGTACTCACACAACCAGCACAGGTAGCCATGAAATCCCTTGGCCAACTAAACTCTGAGGACCGTTTCTGTCTTCTATGACACAACTTTAACTCACCCCCTGGGGGCATGCACCACAGCTTGCTAAAGAAAGTCAGGCCAAATGTCCCCCACCGCCTAAAAACTGTGCTTTGAGAACTTTCTGTAAGAAAGAGCAGAGCATCTCAGTGTTGCTTCAGAGAGGTCTCTGCACACACCATCCTCTTCCCAAAGGGCAAACGCCCAGGACCTACCCGGGACTGTCGCCTTGCCTGGGCTGAGGTCATGTCTGGGTGCTTCCCTGGGAGCACCGGCACCACCAGAGCTGCCACCTCCCCTGGAAGGGGAGATCCGGGCGTCTTAACGTCGTCCTCTTCCCATGCAACAGCTGGAGGAGCTCCACAGCAGCAGGGGCAAGTTCTGCGATGACCTGAGAAACAACCAGAGCGAGATAGCCGAGCTGAACCGGATGATCCAGAAGCTGCAGTGCGAGTCGGACAACGTGAAGAAACAGGTAGGACAAAGAGGTGAATGCTCCATGGGCTGGGCAACTTCTCCAGCTTTCCCCACCAGCTGAGCTGCAAAGAACCATCTCCCCCAACTTGAGCCTGTATTTGTAGCTTCTCTTCTGCTGCCAATACGCAAAGGAGCAGATTTCTGTCTCACTTACCAGAGAAGCAGGAGCAGCTGATTTGGGTCTAACAGAAACAGTGTTTGCTGTGTACCGGGGTGCAGCCAACGGGTCTCACCCCAAAGAGCCTGGACAGGTGTCCAGCCTACATCCAGGCACCCCGGCAGTTCCTAGCTGAGAAAGAAGGGGGTAGGTGAGCAGCTCTGTGGAGATGCTTCAAGTATCACTGCTGGGCACCCCCTTGCCCGTTGCCCCCCACAGATCGCAGCTCTGCAGACGGCCATCTGCGACGCCGAGCAGCGGGGCGACTGCGCCCTCAAAGACGCCCGACAGAAGCTGGTGGACCTGCAGACTGCACTGCAGCAAGCCAAGGACAAGATGGCATGTTTGCTGAAAGACTACCAGGAGCTGCTGAACGTCAAGCTGGCCTTGGACATTGAGATTGCCACTTACAGGACACTGCTGGAAGGAGAAGAGAGCAGGTAGGAGCATCCCTGGCTGCACCTTGTGATGGGAGTTGGCAAAACCCAGCAGGAGGAGAGAGGGGCAGTGAGAAACGCTGGGGGAAGGAGCAAGAAGTGCTGGGTGGAGGCAGCTCCCCATGGGTGCAGAGGGGAGCATCACCCTCGTTTCCTCCTGATCCCCCCAGAGCAGCTGGATCGCAGCACACCAGGCATGCTGCAGAGCCCCTGCTTGCAGTGCAGAAAGAGGATGGGATATTACGATGTCTGTGGGATTTGGGGATCCAACCCCGCAGTGCTCAGCGGGCATTCTGCAGCGAACCAAACCTCCCAGGGGGGCACACAGATAAGCTGAAGCACCTGCAGGGCTTCCAGGGAGGCAACGGCTGGGCAGCAGCTCTATTTGCTTGTGTACTTGAGGAATGTTTCCCTGAATACGTCTCTGAGACATTTCTTTTCTTAACAGGATATGTACGGGCAACCCTGTGAGCGTAGGTAAGCTAGCGAAGCTTTCCCTTCATTTCCCTACGAGCCTTTTAAGCTCCTAACGCTTCCTCCTGGTGAGCTGGGTTTCGGCTGCTCCGGGAGTGACCGAACCTGTTCTTCTCCCCCAGCTGTGGTCAGCGGCGGCGGCACCGTCGGGGAGTGCCGGTCCCTGTCTGGAATCGGGGGCAAATGTGCCGTCAAGACAGGAGTGGCCGGCGCGGGGCTGGGGGTGGTCTCCAACTTCGGCGGCGCCGGCTTCAGCACCCGCAGCGTCGACTGTCTCCCCAGGGTGGGGGGCGGCTTCGGGGCGAGGAGCACGGTGAGCTGCGTGGGGCGAGAGGTCATCTCCGGCGCGGAGGGGATGCAGTGTGCCGCGGGCGTGGGCAACCTGGGCAACGTGGTGTGCGCCG